AAAAAACATTAAAAAGGGGGGACTATAAAGCGAGTAGCAAAATCATAACAACTTACATGGACAGTTATTTTTCAAGAATGATTTAAAAATGTTTTCGCAGAATGATTGCCAGATTACAAAATATGAAAACAAAAGCGCAAATCGAGTGTAACAAATATATATATTATATATATATATATATATATAATGTTGTTCAAAAGTTCAAAATGTAGAGAAAACATAATTATGTAATAAAATAATTATGAAAACATAAATATGTAAGAAAACATAATTAATTCAAAATGTAGAGAAAACATAAAAAATTACAAAACAATGAAAATGAAACTTATTGTTTTTCTTAATTTATATATATATATATATCTGTTAATAATAATTTCTCAAAATATAAAGGCAGAAGAATATATATGTGCAATCAGAAAACCTAAAATTATATATTTTTAAACATTTTAAAATTTATTTTATTACTTGTACTTACTTTTTTATTACAAAAGCCCACAAAGCGTTCAATGCTTTTTCACAAATTCAGGGAAAAATAAAAGTGAATGTAATATATTAGAAATTTTCCTGAAAACGATTTTATTTTTCTTGTCAACTTATGAACGGTCTTAGAATAACATTCAACAGTACTCCTAAATTTAATTTATTTCACTGGTTAACATATAAAATAGACAGGTGGTCAATGCCTTGTATTAAATAGGATAAGGTCGGTTCTTGGTAATAAAGGCTACTTAGACTAGTGGTCAATTAACAAGGGAGGTCAGCTTGACAGGTTTTTACTGCATCATTGTTTATACTTTTGTTGAGAAATAGTAATACATGGAATTTCAAGTTTATTCAGTAAAATTAAAAAGAAGAATTGTTTATTTTATAATAGTTTTGATTATTTGCAGATAAACACTAAGAGAGATGTTCTGACCGATGTTAGCAAATAGAATCATGATCGCTGCTGGAATCAGACTGTAAGAAGTCTGTGGATTATACTCGAAAAAATATGCAAGAATATAATTACATTGAGTTGAAAGCAAGAATTAAATCTTAGGTATGAATTCTTGTAACTGAATTAATATGCAAGAATATAATTACATTGAGTTGAAAGCAAGAATTAAATCTTAGGTATGAATTCTTGTAACTGAATTTCATGAATTCTATTCTATTCAATTCCAATCCAATGTATTTGTTTAGTAAATCATGCATTTTTTTTTTACCTTATAGGTAAATTACAAAATTACATAATCTTTTTAATTTTTAGATGGTTTTATTCTCATACTTCTATCTTACAGCAATTTTTTTTTTCCTTTAGATTAATAACTAGTACAGTTTTGATTATTTTGTTAATTTAATATTTTGTAGTGATGCATAATATAATAAAGATGCTTGCGTTTAGTTTTTATTAAACATATTTGCATTCTTCTGAACACAAAATTTTAATAACTTCAGTAAATTTAAATTTTCATTTTTTTTAAAAATGTGTATGCTATAAGTGAAATTCTATTATTAGATGAAAAAATATTCTTAACTATAAAGAGCATACTTTTTATTACTTATTATTTTATTGAAACTGATACTAAAAAAACTTTTTGAGCTAAATGAAATTATTACTACTTTTACGTATTAAAGTAAAATTATCTATTGTTTCGTTAAAAAAATTATTTAAAAACAAAACAAGAATTATGTTTATTAAAATTTTTTAAAGAAAATTGTTTTAAATTCGTCGAAATATTTACTATAAATTACTAAATTTTTATTAAATTTGTATCTTAACGTGTAGTATTGGTATTTTATTCATGGCGTGACATAAATGTTATTTTGTTATTTAATTTTATTACGTCAACAAATATTTTTCTTTTGTTACATATTTGTGAAAAACTTGTATAACATAATTTAAATCTTGTTCAAACACATTGGAAGAAGTATTTATGTAAAACACAAAAAATAGACTTTTTTTCTTTAGTTATATACATACTTTTTATATTGACTTGAAACCAAATAGAGTACTAATATACTGCAATGAGAATGTTTAGTTAGAAATCAACTTTTGAGTACTAAATATGATTAAAGATGACCTAATAGTATATGGCCAAGATTGTATTTATTTCATAAACCTTCCATTTTTGACAACTTCATCTCAGCTACATTTCAATTTTCAACACGATTGTCATCGTTTTAAATCACGATTTTAATCATTTGACTTGTTTATTAAAAAATAATTAGTTTAAATCATGAATGTAAATTTGCTCTGCTTTTCAAGATGCTCGGAATAGTGGAAACAAAAGGTGTATTATTTCTAATTCAAGATTAAAATATTTGTATGCATATTGACAACAAATAAACATAGAAAAAAAGTTGCATTTTTTAAAAACGACGCAATGATAAGTTATATTATTGATAAATATATATTTAATTTTCATCTGAAAGTAATTTATATTTTTTTAAAGAATCTTTCTCCTTTTATTTTATTTTTTACTAGGGTATAATTATATCATATTTGACTTTCTAACAGAAAAATCTTAAATTAACAATACAAAACGACAGCAATTTATTAAGGAGAAAAATAATATAGTTGACGTAGGGGTGAAGTCAAACAATTTATCACTAGCAAAAAAGGTTTTTACATTCCTCACTGAGACTCCGTAATATGAAATGAATAAAACAAATATTTGTTTTTATTTTAAAACCACCATTACTTTCTTTATTTTTTTTTCGAGCTTAAAATTGAACAAAAACATAGTTTAAATCAAAATCGAAATTTTAAAATCACCCACTACACAATCTAACTACAAGTTAAACAGAAATTGTTTATAAAATAGATACTAATGCATTATGAATTTTATTCTATGAATTATGGTATAGCGATCCTGAATTATGGGATAGTTTAAATTAAAATTTTAAAATCACCCACAACACAATCTAACGGCAAGTTAAACAAAAATAGTTACTTATGCATTATGAATCTTACTCTATGAATTATGGTATAGGAATCCTGAACTATGGGATTAAATAAAAATTATAAATAATGAAAGTTAACTACACAGTATGATAATAAATGCTAAATAAATTTTAGCAAAATAGAGTGTAATTTACAAAATAGATGGCAAATAGTACATGAATTATAATATATGAGTTATGAAATACTTAATGAAATAAAAATGAAGCCGTTTACTTGGCAAACTTTAATAGAATTGTTAAACAGAAAATTTTTCTAAATTGATTCTAATTTTTCTTGAATCACGCAAAAAAAATATTTCCTTTGGGCCTTTAAACTGAACAATCACCTTACAAATTTTGATTTTACAATAACAAAAGTAACAAACTATTTAGAGAACAAAAATGATTATCAATTTTCCGATTATAGAGATGAAATGAAATACATCAAACGCGCCGTTATCAAAACAAACTTTTTTTTTCTCATAAAACAAAACTTATAAAACTATTTTAATTGTAACTGTCAAAATAAATAAATAAATGCAATAAATTCCTGTTTTATGCCTATCATTCGAACGATGTATCAATTGTCATCACATGTTTATAGTAACGTATGAGTAGCAAGCATCAATTATGTGCTACACTGTAATGGAAGAACCAATGGAGAGCCATTCTTCAGGTTTTGTGATCCAGGGTGACTCCCACAGCCCCCGGGGAATACTTCTGGCACCCCCCACCACCCACGATAAACAGTTCATTCCAGGCACCATCCAAACTGCAAATTCTGTAGAAAAGCCATTCTAGAATTGTTTTCGGAAGCTGCTAGATAAAATTCTCATGTGTGGTAACTTTCCCCATAGATTCAATAAACGCCGATTCAGTTTGCAACGTAACTTGATTCAAACATACTTTATGAGTGTCGGTAGTGATTCTATCATAATATATTAAATTTGACCAATCACATTCTTTCTAGGTTTATACTTTTAGTTGGAATTATACTGATGCTTTTGATTAATAAAAGAGTGGGCCGATATGTGTTGTTTTATAACCCGGATAAAATTTAGATTGCAGAAGAAATGCAATATAAATAAAAATGAATATGCCGAAGATGTAAAATGAATGAATTAGAAATAAAAAATGCCGCTTGGAATGGTTCGTTTAATCTATCTAATAAATTAAATTATGTATCAATACACAGAACCTGGTTAAATTATTAGACCCCACAGTAAGATTCTATGTAAAATCTTAATTATCAGATGATACTATACAGCTTTATTGTTTTTACGCGACTGAAACCGGTTTGCACTTGTTTACGTTAGTGTATCAATGGGTTGAATTAGGCGATACATAATACAGATTCGACGATTGGATAGATTAGAGGATATATTATATAAATGTAGAATATTTATTATATCAGGTGTTATATTAGTATATTGTAATAATTAGATCAAATTATTAGACGCACTGTAGCTTTTTAATAATTACATGTTTTGCACGAGTTTATATGCAATACTTTTATATTTAAACATACATGTAATNATAATAAATATTCTATATTTGTAATATATATCGTTTAATGTATGCAATTGTTGAATTTATATTAGTATATATTGTCTCATTTAACCCATTGATACACGAACGTAAACAAGTGCAAACCGGTTTCAGTCGTGTAAAAACAATAAAGCTGTATAATACATGATAATTAAGATTTTACGTAGAATCTTTAGTGCGTCTAATAATTCGGCCAGGGACTGTATATACATTATATTATTTGTTCCCTACACATATGTTAATACTCTGAATGTTAAAAGTGATGTTTCATTATTTATATTTATTATTCTTCTCTAATTAATTTTTTTTTCTGTTTACTAATACATAATAATATTTTAAATCTATCATCTATCACAATTATCTAATGCACGAAGTTATAAATGGAAATAAATGTTTTAGACTGGTTATTTTTTTGCCTGTTATATATAATATACTCTGAGTGTTCAAACTAATTTTATTTAAAATATCTGCATAGCTTTGAAATAAAAAAAAATTATTTTCTTCGAGCGAAAATTATTATTTTTTCTTCACACATGTTAAATAAAAGAGTATATGTGTATTTGTACTACTTGAAATTATGAAGCTAACATACATGAAATTATGAATTGAGGTAAATGTATTTGTTATTATTTGCACATTAAATGAACCATAATTCGAAAATCGGGAATGTTACAACAGTAAAAATGCTCAAAATAATAAACTTTTTTTTTTTTGCATTCATTGCCCAAAAAAATTTAACAATAACGGAAAATATAGGAATTTTTTGTTGCTGTTTATATTTAAAACGTGGGATTTTTTTATGAGAGTAAGGTCGTATTTTCCCACCAAAATTTCGCTGCTGTTACAAACCGTAAGGACCATAGCCTTTATAATTAAAATAAAATGCATGAATACATAAAAATTATCTATTCAATGATTTCATTTTGTATTTTAAAAGAGCAGGCTTTGTGATTTAAAGCGACGTTTGGTAAGCGATCTTAGAATTATTAACAAAATTAAAGGAATTAGTAGTTAAACAATTTTTATTCGATTACTAAAATATTGCATCTCAGGTTTTTGCTGAAAATTTTGATCTTTATAAAGAATGCATTTTTTAACTATCAATTGTTAAACGTTACATTGAAAAAATTATACATTTTAATTCTGTTTTAAAATTTATTTAAAACAGGCTTACCTCACATTATAAATAGTACTAAAAAATTAAAAACTATGGTATTTATTACTAGAAAAGTTAATACTTGCGTTTGCGAGCTAAAATATTTTTCTACTGAAATAGTCTTAAATTTCATCATCTAAGATATGAAGTTTTGAAACAAATTAACAATGATAAAAATTTTCAACGTTTTGAAACAATGATTTAAATAGGGATTTCTCTCAGAACGTGAATTTCAAAGCAAATTACATTCAAGTTATTAAACACTTGTGAATGAAAATATGCGGTAATACTTGTTTTAAATATACCGTGATTAATATACGCTAATACTAGTTTGTGAGTGAAAATATACAGTAATATTCGTTAGTTAACTAATTTTCTAGTTTTAAGCAAATCATTTTAAAATGATACAAGTTCTGTTCATATACTAACATAGAACCGAGAAAAAAAAAATGAATTCTTATATTCCATCCCTTCCCAAAATTATTGAATAGAAATGAAATATTATTAATATGAAACGTAAATTAATACATGAAATTAAATACGAAGTGTTTTTTTTCCCACAGAGAAATTTAATAAGAGTTTCTATTCGAATGCTAGAGCGTATAAAAAGACGCGCTTTTTTAAATTTTTTTTTTTAATCAATTCGTGCCAAAATGGCAACAGGTCGGGCCAATACGTTTTTAGTGCCACGCTACGACAAAAAGCTTAACTACTATTTTTAATTGAATTTAGGAAGTTCTTGGTAATCGTTTGGTTTGGCTTTTAAAAAAGCTTAGTTGTTAAAGAATGAACACAAGTATCTTTTGCTAAGTAAATTATGATTTATTTTAATTTCTCACCATTATTTTAATTTCTCACCTCTTATATTTATTTTTATATGGATGACATGCATCATTAATACCTTCAAACTAATAGGAGAATAAATATGGAAAAGTGTTAATAATGTAGAACACTTTATTTCTGTTTACCGTAGAATACATCCAATCACAAAATTAAATAAACAAAGTAAATAAAAATTTGATAGAAATGGTTTTTACGAATAATATAACTACAATCTGAGATAAAAGATTTGGAACTGATTTGAAAGTTTTATGTGCTACTAAAATCCACAGAGTAAAAAACTTCAAAACACTAGCATAAATCCTAGTAATCCAACCTTAAATCAATAATTTTTATTAAAATGAAGAATGAAAACTCAACTTTAAAACAATAAGTCACAAAGAATATTCTTTCATGATATAAAATCGTACAGAAGTAAATAAAAATATGACACAGATACTACTCCGTTGAGTGTCAACTATTTTAATCTACTGTATGAACTAACAGTTTCCTCTAAGTGTTGCTAGAGGGCTTTGATGACGAAAAATTGCTTTGCCGTATGTCATTAGCCTTACTCTTCTAACCTCTATAATAAGTTGTCAGTAAAAAGAAAGTTTTATAAAATACAAATTAAAAATATTAGTTCATATAAATAATTTGCTAGTTTTAAACAAATCATTTTTAAATTCTAGAAATTTTGTTCATGTTAATACAGAACAATAAAATAAAATATAAAATTAAATCATAGTTTCCTACATTTCGCAAAACTAAACATTACTTTAAAGTGTTTTTTTTCTTTATTCTCTTCGATTAAAAAAACTTTTAATGGTGAAAAATTACTATGTCGTGTGTCATTGGCTTTACTCTTCTGACCTCTTATATAAGTTGGCAGTAAAAAGAAAGTTTCATGAAATACAAGTTAAAAACATTAGCTCATATAAATAATTTACTAGTTTCATTAAACAAATCGTTTTTGAATGATACAAATTCTGTTCATACTAATACAGAACAATAAAATAAAAAATAAAATGAATCCATAGTTTCGCGATACTAAACATTACTTTGAAGTTTTTTTTTTAAAATTATTTTTATCATATTCGATTAAAAAAAACTTTTGATGGGGAAAAATTGTTTTGCCGTTCGTCATTAGCCTTACTCTTCTAACCTCTAAAATAAAAACTCGTCAGTAAAAAGATAGTTTTGCGAGTTATAAATTAAAAATACTAGTTAATGTGATAAAATTCAATAGTTATTAACAAATCATTTTTGAATTATCAGGGGTCTGTTTAGAAGAAATTTGGGTCCATTAACGGACCCTTCACAAAATATCTTTTCATAAAAACGGACCCTTCACAAAACATTTTAATTTAAAAACGGACCCTTCACAAAATAATTTATCTTTTAATCGGACCCTTTACAAATTTGTTTATCTTCATTATTGTTTTGTTAATCGAATAAACCCTTCCGAGGAAGGGGGGGGGGAGAAAGACAGTTGTAAAAGAACTAAATTTTGTCTACGGCAGACGCTTCTTCCTTTATTCGTTCGAATTGAATATTCTGCGTTCAGCAGTATAGGCTAAATACCAAATATTTATATGTTATATCGCTAATTTAGTAGCTGCATTTGCTGTTTATTTTTTGAAATTTAATTTTTTTAATTATAATTTTACAGTATTGAGTATAATCTTGTATGTCTTTACAATTTAAAAACTCCTTGAAAAAGTTTTTTTTTTACCATAACGGACCCTATTTTCACAAATTTACAAAAGCAGGGCCCTGGTTGAAAGAGTGTGACTTAACGTTTATTTTATATTCACAAATAACGAGTAATTTTTTCACAATTTTACAAAAACAGAACCTTTTACAAAATGTCTGGACAGACCCCTGAAAATTCAATAGTTATTAACAAAATCATTTTTGAATTATACAAATTCCATTTATACTAATACAAGAACAAGGAAAGCAAACATGTTTGAAAGTGAAAATTCTTCAAGCAGCGTCAGCCACTGAAGTTGTTATAACCTTCTCTTCCTGAGCAGTTGGTACTTCTGCTTAGAACATTTTCTTTCAACTTCCGTTCGGGAATTTCTCTTTCGATGGCAGAGTCCGCCCTATTCTAGTTTTCTATTGTAGAGGGAAGTTCGAAACGGAATGGGAGGAGGCGCCCCCCTTGTTCCATTCCATGTTCTTACAAATGTCAAGAGATCTTTTTTTTCTTCCTTACCTTTTCTTACAAATAGAGAAGATCTCTACTTAGTTCAGTAATGAAGGACCTGAGAGTGATATTTTATTTTCTAGAATCATTTGTTCCATAAAGTTTCGAATGACCTAAAAGAACTTCTCCGATCTGTTATGTTCAAATTTCGTCTTCTTCTTTTCCAGCTAAATGAAGACGGAAGTTCGGACCCGGAGTTATAATGATGCTGTTGTCGTTTTTTTGCTGAAATTCTGCTGTATTTTCTCGTTTCATTAGAGAACTTTTCATTCTTCAACTTTGTTGAAAATGACCAGTGGGGTAAGTAAGAGCAGACGATTCTTAAGAAAGAAGTATTCAAGCAGTGAGTTCCATTGATATAATACTATTAACTGTAGTTTCGTTTTTAAAAAAAAATTTAGTTGTGTGTACAGCTTGATTTTTGTTTTAAAAAAATATTTAAGGGAAAATGTAATTTAAAAGACACAGTTTCTTTTTAATGTTGAAATGCAGCATACACTATCGTACGTGCTTTCTATAAGACATGTATATAAAATTTGATTTACAAATTTTATGATATGATTTATGTACTCAGCTGTGCATATATCCTAAGAGCAGACGATTCCTAAAAAAGAAGTATTCAAGCAGTGAATTCCATTGATATAATACTATTAACTGTAGTTTCGTTAAAAAAAAATTTATTATAAGTACAGTTTGACTTTTGTTTTGAAAAAATATTCAATATTTAAGGGAANTTTCTTAAGCGTTGTAGCTATATAATTTCAAACATCCTCAAGAGCTATAACACATCTGCAGCAGAACTGGATATGAAGACAAAATTGCAGGACAGGAACACTTTAATTGTCCACTAATCTTCAGATTTCCTGCTATGTTTTAAAAAACTTTATTTGTGAAAACCTTCAGCGTGGCGGACAGCTGGCTGCCTTAGGCGGCTAGTGAATAATAAAAGCAAACCTAATTCTTTTTTGTATTTTTTTAATAATAAAATAGGCGAGTTATTCAGGGAACTCCGTAACGAAATTATAAATAAATTTGTCATAAATCGAGTGTGAAAACAAACCTAATTCTAAAAAAATATATATAAAAGCACAGTAATACTTTAACATTACAGAAAGATTTTTCATGAAAATGTTTTACTGTCGAAAGTGTTTTATATTACATATCCAGCGTTTTTTTTATTTTATTTATTTATTTATTTTCTTTAGTTTTACTTCTCAGCGAAAGATTGCTAGGAAATTCATCAATTTTCATCAATTATTATTTTTTTTAAATTGCCAGCTGCAATTAATACTAATTTAACCCATATTACTAACGGTATTTGAAATTTTAGAATATATTTTGGAGTATGCGTAATATATATTTTAAATGAAATTAATATTATGTATTTTATACGTAATTTTGTATTTTATGTTAATAATGATGAGTTTATAAGAAATTGTTTGCTAATATTACTTTTAAAATATTCTTGAATTCTACATACATTAAAATTGTTATCCAAAATTCACATCAAACTAATTCCTATTTACTGAATCTGTTTGAAAATTAATAAGGTTACAGCTTGAAAGAATTAATATAATGCATTATGTGTATACATAACATGTATACATTAAATATGTTACATATGCATACATAGCATGCAATAAAACATGTATTAATATAATACATGTTTTATTGCATGCTATGTATGCATATGTAACATATGTTATGTATACACATTTAATATTATTATATATAGAACTAATAACATGTAATTTCGATTAAAACTTTGTTCATTATTGCATATCTTTCTCTTACTCTTTATTTAGAGTTTTACGTATGCAATTTTTACTTACTTTTATTTTACTCTTGTTAAGCCAAAAACTGCTCTTGTTCATTAGGGGAAAAAAACATTTTTTAAAAATTGGAAAAAAAATTATTATCTGAATAATAAATTATGTATTATTATATAGACAAATCGAAACCTAAAATATTTTAATATAAGAATTGCTGGCCGAAAAAGCTTACACTGGCGTGAAGAAAGTAATTCAGGATTTAACGTTGCTCATATTTTTAATTATCCTTCACTAGGTACCAAAAAAATTAAGTACCACCCCTTTTTTTTCCAGCATACTTATTTTAAAGCTCTATCTGTACACTGTTTCACTTTATTTTTAACGCAACTAATAAATTTCTTTACCTTTAAAAATGTGTTTTAAAAATAAAATTTGGAAAATACTTCTCGGAAAAAAATATTCTGATAAAATTACCGAATTACCGTTGCTGTATAATAATAACATTTCTGTTTTTTTTTTTTTTTTTTTTTTTTTTTTTTTTTTTTTTTTNTTTTTTTTTTTTTTTAATAACGCAATTTGGGTTATAAAACCAAACTAAACGTTATTTAAACAATCCATTTGGTTATTTAACCTTTCATATGGTAATGGTTTACCGGAAATAATTTTCAAAATTATAGTTCTTATTACCACACATTTAGTAAAATGCTACAAAACTGAAAACTAAATTTAACAGCAGAAATGGTTTTATGCAATGCTCTTAACTATCAAATTACCAAATTTTATCGGAAATTATAAAACCATATGTTATTGTTAATTTTACCAAAGTCACTACCAAAACGCTTCGGTATAATTACCGTACTTTTTGCTGTTCTCCATAGAGCAAAAAAAAAAAAAAAAAAAAAAAAAAAAAAAAAAAAAACGGTAAATTTTACAATATTCTGGTAGTTTTGACTTTATTTTTTTCCAAGCGTTGATTGTAGATTCTCATTTTGTTCGTAATGTAAAAGTTCATATTACATTTAAAATAATGGATGATTTTAAAATGAAATACCCCACAGCTGTGAAATGAAATACCCCACAAATGAAATACCTCACGAATTTATTTTTTTTCATTAATAGAATGTAACTGCAAAATTAAATACCATTTGATTTAAAGATCTTCAAAATTGTATTTTCAGGTTTCCGCCGATTGTGTTATTTGGAAGAAACTTAAGTCTTAAATATTTTTGATAAAAATACACTGCAAAATCAGGTTTCTCAAATTAAACAAACTACGTTTCTCAAATTAAATCTCGTTTAAACAATAAATTACTTAAAATGAGTGCATGGTGTATCAATTTTGCACGGAGGAAAACGATTCGTGTAAAATTACCGTACTGTATCGCATTAACATTTCTGGCTTAAAAAAAAACAACAACATAATTTTAATTAATAAAACCAAAATATACGGTATTTATAATTATGGTATAATTTTTCAGTTGCTGTACATTCTTGTTTTCAAAATTATATTTCTTTTTACCACACATTTAGTAAAAAATACAGAACAGAAAAGTAAATTCAATCGAAAAAATGTTTTTTTTATGCCATTTTGCTTAAAAATGAGTTTTGAACAAGTCACTATATTCAATCATGAGTACATGAGGTTTTCATGAATTTTTTTTTTTTTTTTAAAGTAGTTCTTAATTTTTTTCACAGTTTCAACATCTTATTTTGTGAGTTGTGTATAATGTCCGGACAGTTATACAAAATTTTATTATAAAGATAAAAACTTACTGAGAACCAAATATAAATCATTTGCCATAAAATTATAAAACGGTGACTCAAAATGTTGCATAATAATATCATATCATATATGTTTACTCTACATATCATAGAATACAAAAACATTATTGTTAATTTTAACCTTTTTAAATTTTAATAATTAAAAATAAAAATGCAATAAAACCAGAGAATAATATTCAGAAGAAAAGACTATTACAGCAAAAATGCAGCTAAATAGAGATAGATGGAGAATTAAGAATTCTATACTATAATAACTTTTATACGGATGACAGCTAAAGATATTTAATCTTGATTTGTCACGTGATAAAACGATATCATGTGATCAAGAGATACGTCATAATCTTTCCACAATTTTCATTGGCTGCTGCATGATTAACATCATATAAGGTGACCAAATTTTGTACCGTATCATGATTCAAAATATAGATATCATTGTATAACTTTAAATTAATTTTTCTGAGTGTAATTTATGGATAGGCTAGCGTTATTTTTCAAATAAAAGTATTAACAATGTCCTTAAAATATGTATGTAGATTTATAAATTTATGAAATAATGTTGATGAAACTGACGTAATTAAAATATAATTCAAATAATTATATGTCGATAAAACTGAGCTTGAATTGAATAAAAAGTTTCCTCAAAATAGCGGACTTTATAATTGTTGACGTTCGAAAAAATGGATTTAACGCTAAATCATAGAATTGAGGAAATTTTTACTGCAACTTTAATAAGGTTGAGGTGGTAAGTTGAGTTCTAGTTACCGTTCAAAGTTGAACCCTAATATCATATAATCACGCTTCAAAAGTACGATTTTATGGACTGAGTCGACGAAGTTTGCTGCACATTTGAACCACATTATTGTTCAACAGGCTCCGAAATTTCTTTAATGTAATACCAAAATAGTGTAATTGAAATCAGCTCTAACAAGGAATGTACTTCAAGTGCTACTCGTCAATCACAATGAATTTTCATATTGTAAATAAATATAAATTCAACAATGAAATTTAGTACATAAATATATATGTATATTCAATTATGAGTTATAATGTGTAAATAAATATTTAACGACACGCCCAGTAACATAAACCCTCCAACATGGCAGCATCTGAAGATTATTTTCCACCTCAGATTTTTTATTCTTTTTTCTTTTTTAAAGAAAAAAGTGAGAAGGAATTGATAGTAGAAAAAAAAGAACAAATAAAAATTGAAGATGAAACAAAAGAAAAGATATTGCTACTTCAAAAAGACATCGTTGATTTTCCTAATAATTGTTTTATCTATCCGCAAGCAACAAAATAGCTTGAGAGCTCATTGAACCAATATTTACGAATCTTGGCTCAGAGGATAGAATGCTTGCCCTGCGCTTACCTAAAGAAAGCAAAATATCTAAGTGATCTTATAAAATCTAAGCATCTCTCTATAAATAATAACTTAATCTTGTAGCATAACTCCATAAAAAAGAAAGCTTAGTGAAGGGCTTGGGACAATATAATGCTAAGCCACGTTTTTGAATTAGTAAAGAGAGTTCTTTGAAGAAAAACACCAAAATTTCCATTTAGGTAATAAAGTGTTTCTGTGTATTGTGCGGTTATGCATTTCGTAAACTTGCAAGTATCTATCTGGAAACAATAATAAGAAACAGTCTGATATTTAAAAAACTACTTATGAGAAGAAGAAAAAAAATTTCATATTTATCATTATTTCATTTTTAACCCATCCTTTATTTTAATTTCATTATTTTTTATGAATTATAACAAACAGTTAATATGTATTTTTATTAAGTTTTTATTTACGTAATTTTGCATAATTACAATTTTGTATAAAATGCATTTTTTTCGTTTCTTACAGATAAATTCTACCAATTTTGCTGCAATGAAGACAGGAAAAAAGTGGTTACTTGTCGAGGCGATGAAAATACTATGTTATATGAACATATTTTTTGTAAACACGCGTATGTTTTGTTAATTTCAAAAGTTTTATAACACAAATAAAACAAAATGCATTAATCAAAGTTCGTGTATCTGTTTTATTTGTTTCAACTAAAGCGTAATTCATTCAGCAAAGAGTGTAAAACTATTGCTAAAAGATCAAATGACTTAATACTGAAATATTGCTTAACAATAAAGATAATAAGTATTTTCAACTAAAAATATGAACGAGTTTACTTGAAATTTAGAAGTAATTTTATATACGTTAGATATAGGAAAAATAATAAAACGAGCATTGAATATGAGATAAGTTTGAAAAATTGATCAAAAATTTAAGAATAAAATCTTTAGGTGGAAAATTTTTTAAATACTTGGTGAATAGCAATTTTTCTCAAACACTATTATTTTAAAGACTCATACTAAACAATTAGATAAACATTCGTCCTAATGTTTTAAAAAACGTTCGTAATTTTAATTTAAATTAAATCATAATTAAAAATTAATTTAAAAAAAAAACTTACAGTCGGCAATAAATATATAAATACACAAGTCGGTGACCATTGTGCTAAAATACAAACTAAGGTATACAACGTTTAAGAGCAATATTTTTTGTGCTTTTAAACGTTGTTTACCTTAGTTTGTAATAAATATATAATTTAATATTTTCATTAATTATTTTAAATTCTAGATGATAAGTTTCTTATAAAAGTAAAACAGGATATTTTCCAATTTAAGCAAATAATTTATTATTATAACAGGATTTTTATAGCGTACAGTGAGAAAAAAAAATTTCTTAAAAAAATGGACAACCCTGAATAATTTTTTATCAAATCATAGAATTTTCCTAGTCTAGGACTCAATCTTAATGGTTTGAGGGGGTGGCTTTAAATATGCGAATTAATTGGTGCAGACGGTATTTTAGGTTACAAAATCAGTCACAAAAACGTGTTTTCTCTGAATAAAAATGCCCTTCTTTTTTTTTTCAATGGATTCGCATATCTGTCCCCTAATATACAGGAGGTAGCCATAATCTGGGAAATATGGTCCTCATAGTTTGAACTCCTTAATGTTAATTTTACTTTTGCGTATTTCGCCATATCTCGAGAACTTTTTAAGCGAATTGAAAAAATTTTCTACACAATTATAAAATTCGCTTATCTAGAGCAATTCATGCAAAGCAATCGATTTATCCATGCAAAAAATAAATTTTAGTATATCTTTGTTATTACTTTTTTATTTAATTTAATAACAATCGAAAAATTTTTGATTTGCAATTTTTTTATATGTAATTTTACGAACATGCGAATTTGAGAAAATTCGGTTGAATAGTCCCTGAGAAATGGATTTTAAATATACGACAGTTTTAAAATTCGATTCTCAGGAACTATTTCGCTCAAATTTTATATTTAGTCATGCAAATGTTAGCTGTCATAAATCCAAATCCATTAAAAAAAAAGGTATGTTTATTCTGAGAAAAGTTCATTTGTGTGTCTTATTTCATAACGTTATTAACATATTAATTAGAATATTATATTAATTAGCATATTTGTAGTCACCCCCTCGAACTTTTAATATTGAGACCGGGATTCGATCATTAGATCAAAAGTTATTGAGAGTAGTCCATTTTTTTTTGGGGGGGGGAGGGGAGAGCATTGTACATTAATAAGCTTTATAAATAATATAGCTTCCAAATATAGGCTGAATAATTTTATACCACCGAATTACTTATTTATGAATTTCATTCCAAATTTCTCATAGACTTATCAAACATTTAATGCTGCACTAATATCAATAACGGAATGTCGTATCATTTTAGGCAAATATAATTTACTATGATTTTGAGTCAAAATTGCGTTGTTCTTTTTTATATTTAAAACTATTTACATTTAAAATTTGGGAGATGACAATTTCAGAGCTATTTAACATCGCAGTTTTGAGTTTTAGGTTAATAATTTTTGCTTTAGTATTTCACTTTCTTCATGTTTTGTTTTTCACATACCTTTGGTAGTTGAGAATCATACGATTGTGGAAAATATTTTTAAAAAAATATTACTAAATAATAAAATCCTATCTTTCTTAGAGTAGAAGAAATAGACCACGGAATTTAATATTTTTCTTAGATTTTTTTTCAAAATTTTGCGTATTTTATGGCAATTGAATACCGTAACTAATAGTTTCTTACAATAAATTTTTATTATTGTGTTAAATTGAAGTTTTGAAAATTTTTATTGCGTAAACTACACAAAAACAAGAGGATATTTTGAAAAGAAAAGTGTTTTCACAGGAGAAAAATAAAACAATGAATACGTTGGTATGGGCAAACTGAATACGTTGGTTGCTTATTTATGCTAATATAATTTTGTGAGAAAAACTTATTGATATTTTAGATGATACGTCCACAATATCACTCATTTTAATAGGGTGATTTTATTTTACAAGTTTTGACAGTAGACTAAGAATAGTTTTTAAAGTGATGTTCTCTATCTATCTATCTATATAAACGTTTAAAAAAATTCTTATTTTGGTCCATTCTCTGGTCGATTCCCTGACATCCTCAATACGTTACATTTATAAAAAAGACACTAAATTAACGTCTCAAAAAAATATTAATTCACGAAATTAAGATTCTTATCAATATATTTTTTCCAACACAAATATTTTATTATTAATAATTCAATACACTACAAAATAAAAGCAAGAAACAAACAATAAATTGAACGAGTCACTTTTGAATTTCTCGATACATGTGACTACAGAAGTGAGTTTTAATAGTATGACAAAGAAAAAGCATTAATGGAAACCCATACGAGTAAACGAACTGCTAGTTGTGAAGTAAGCAGGAGTTTCTTGTTTAAAGCAAGCATGATATCTCAACATTATAACTGTTTAAAAGAGATGTATGTAAAAAAGATAAAAGGTATGTTCCTTTTGATGTAAACATAATAAACCTTTAAAATGTAAAATAAAATTAGGAATTAGTTGTTTTTTTTGTCAGGAAAAGAAGACATTTCTAATATTATTCAGAGAACAAAGAGAATATTATTTATTTATTCGTTTCAATTTCCTCAAATAAATAAATATTTGATGAAGCAAAAAAGTAATTTCCCGTTGTTAAACAATGTTAAGTATTTATTATCAGTCAATTATTTAATAACTGTTAACTTATACGTACTTTCAGAACATTAACAAAGCAAAAATTGACAATCTTTTTTTCATAATGTAATGAGCATTTCTATTAAGTCAAATTATTTATATTTTTTAATATCATGGTAGTAGACGTGAAATTAAACCCAACTAATGAAACGCAGAAAGGCATCCCTGGCAAAAATCTTCCTGCTTTAGCAGAGAGATTGAGGTTTATGCTAAGGAACGCCATCTACATTACAAAGTTATAACTTTAAGGAATGCGTGAAAGAAAAATTGAAGATCTGTAAAAATGTCTTTTTGACATTGTTACATAGGTTAGGGTGAAACAAACATTAGATGGTAGAACGCCTTTTCAAATCTCGGAATATCAAATTGAAATTAAATTATTTTTTAAAATTAAATAAAATTAGCTTTTATTAAAATTAAATAAATTTTACTTAAAATTAAATAAAATAAAAATTTTTTTAATTAAAACTAAATTTTTAAGATTTAAATAAAATAAAATTAATTTTAATAAAAACTAAATTTTTAAAAATAAAATTAAAATACTGAAAACACCGTAGTTTTTGAATAGAAATGAAATGTTTCTTAAAATTTTAATGTGTATACTTTGCTTTTAAATTGAATTTAATAAGATTATTGCAAACTTACATTAAATGTAATGTAAATCAAAAACGTCTTAATTAACTCTATTTACGATAAAAAGATTAGCTGTTGTCTATTCCTTTTGTATTCTCAGTGGACAAAAGAATTGTATGATATAATAATTTGTAAATAAAGAAAATTAGATATCCTTTGATATCATCAGCTTGAAATTAATTAAAGTTATAACAGCATTTACCTATAAATTACTAATTCATCCCTTATTTGAAGGTATGTACCAGTAATTTAATTTTCAATACTTTTCTCTTTTATTATTACGTTTTAGTTTTTGATTATCATTCTAATCTAAAGACTTTAAAGTAAAAGTGGTGTTTCTTTACATTACCAAGTAATCATGAGTACTTAAAATGAAACATTTTATGTTAAAAATATTTAGTTTAATCACTTGCCGTTTTAAAGCCATTAAAAATTATAATATTCAAATAACAATAATTAATTATTATTACATTAATATATGAAATATATTACACATATTTAAGTAGTGATTTTTTTTTTACTACGTCTTTTATAAACTCTTCTTCTTTTACTTGCTCCAATTTTATTGATATTTACTTTTGTACTATTTAATTGGTTTTAAAGTACTGTTTTTAAACGTTTTACAATATTGTTCTTTTGTAAATTTTGTTAAATTGTTCTCTTAAATTATTCTTTTAATTGACACTTTTAATATTTTGCTGTTTTAAATGTTTATCACCTTACATGATTTTAGCTGCTCTACGTCCGCCATGTTCATGGGCTGTTGCCTCGCCTGATGTGTATTTTATGCATTTTATGTTTGAACTGTTTTCTGGATTTTTTTTTATTTTAGTAAACATTTACCCATATGTCCTAATTAAGGGCGGGTCGGGGTAAATTCTTCCATATTTATGTAGTGATAATAAGTGAATACGCATTAATATTTTAAAAATAATTTACAGATATTATTTTTACTGTAAATAATAAGATAAATGTAATAAGAAGTCAAATTTTCTTTTTAATAAGTTATGCAGACTTTCGTTAAAAATTTTATATGAAACTATGTTCCATTGCAATTAAGACAATAAATACAAAATTATTTAGAGCTCTATATTATTACTAGGAAGTAACTATTTGCGCTATTGAAAAAAAATATGATCCTCATTGAATTTTTCTATTTATTTCTCTTTTATCATAAATGAGAGCGCAGATAAAATTTTAAATATTTTTGTTGTATTATTTATTTTATTTCATTATATTTTTAATTCATGTTCGAAAAATAAAATTTGTGTATTTTAAAATTATATCACAA